AGGCAAGGTCTTCCTATATCTGGTTTTGTCAGGGCTGTCACTATTAAGGGATATTGGATTCTGTGATTTTTATTCATGATTCAATTAATGTATTGTATTAAATTTATTGATTTGGGTATGTTAAATCATCCTTCTTTGGAGTAGAACCAACTTGATGATGGTGTATGATCTCTACACAGTATTGTCGAATTCAGCTGCAATTTTATTGAGAACTTTTTGCATCTTGTTTGTCAAAGATATTGATCTACTGAGTTCTTTTGTTGTATCCTTGTCTGGTTTTGGTATCAAAGTGATCCTGGCCTCATAGAATATGTTTGAAAGTGTATTCCATCCTTGTATTTCATAGAATAATCTGAGGAAAGTAGTTGTTAGTTCTTTGAAGGTCTGATAAAATTTGGAAGGGAATCCAATCCTAGGTTTTGTGGGGAGACTATTACTGCTTTAATTTCATTCCTTGTTATTGATCAGTTTAGGTTTTTTTTTTTTAAAAATATCCTTTTGTTTCAGTTTTGAAGGTCATGTATGTCTAGAAACATTCATTTCTTTTTGCATTCTCCAACTTATTGGAATATTAATTTCCAAAGTAATTCCTAATGATCTTCTTAAATTCAGTAGCAGTTACTATAATACATCCTTTTTTATTTTAATATGTAATGCTTCTTTTGTCACTTCTAATTTTACTAGTTTAGGGTTTTTCTATCTTTTTATTTGGTTAGTTTGCTAAAGGTTATCTATATTGTCTATCTTTTCAAAGAACCAATTCTTGGATTCATTGATCCTTTGTATTATTCATTTAGTCTCTATGTCTTTAATTTCAGCTGTAATTTTATTTTTGTTCTTTCTACTGGTTTTGAGTTTGGCTTAATTTTCTAAGATCATGAGATACATTATTAGGTTGGTTGTTTGAGATAGCTTTTTTGTCTAATGTAGGCACTCATTGTTATCAGTTTCCTTTTTTTGAACTACTTTTACTGTATCACACAGATTCTGGTATTTGGTACATATTAATCACTTTTCCACTGCTGGGACAAAACACTCCAACATCCACAACTTGAAGGAGGAAAAATTTATTTGGCCAGTGGTTCCAGTCTTTCTGTAGTTGCCTGGATATAAGGAAGAAATGACAGAGGGAATGCATGGCAAAGGGAAGTTGTATAGCCCATGGCAGCCTATACTCTTATCTTAAGCAGAGAGAGGAGAGGAGCAGTGTCAGTATCAGGAATGCAGCCTTCCAGGTCGTGCCTCCTATAATCCAACCCTCCTAACCAAGCCCCACCTCTGACACCTGAGACTTCCAGGGCGTATTTTAAATTTAAATCATAACAGTTGTGTTTCCATTTTCATTTGATTATAGAAATTTTAAAATTTCCCTTCTAGTTTCTAAAATGACCCACTGATTGTTCAAAAATGTATTTTTTAACTTGTTGGTGTTTGAATGGTTTTAGCAGTTTCTCTTTAGTTGATTTCTGGTATCATTCTGTTGTGGTCTAGTAAGATGTGGGAAATTATTTCCACTTTTTTTTTTTTTTTTATTTTGTAAGGCCCACTTTATGGCCCAAAATATGTCTTTTGGAGAAAGTTACATGAGCTGTTGAAAAAAAAAGGCTTTTTCTGCAGTTGTTGGATTGACTTATCTGTGGGTGTCCATTTGGTCCATAGTGTAGTTTAATACTGATATCTAGATGAGCTATCTATTAGTGAGACTGGATTATGAAGCTCACCCACTAACATTCTACTAAGATCTTTGTCTGTGTTGAATAGTGCTTATTTCATGGCAATGATGGTTGGTATGTATATGCTTACAATGATTATATTTTCATAATGAATTTTTCCCTTTAGTAATATGAATGACTTTATTTGTCCCTTTGAATTTTTTCTTGAAGCCTTCTTTGTTGGCAGTGAATATTGCTACTCCTGCTTGTTTTTGGATTCCATTTGCTTGAAATACCATTTTCTATCTCTTTCATGCCCTTGCATACACCAAAGAATTGTTTCTAATCCAATTTGTCAATTGTGTCTTTTAATTATAGGATTAAGGCCATTTATATTCTGGATTATTATAGCAAGGTACATATTAATTCCTATCATTTTGGTATTTTACTAATGTTTGAGTCTTTGCTAATTCTCAATAACTTATTTATTCTTCTTCAGTGTGTAGGATTCCTTTAGCCATGTTCTGTGATGCTGGCTTAATGGTTATACATGACTTTATGCTGATTTTAAAAGGTCCTTATTTCTCCTTTAATTCTGAAGGCTAGCTTTGCTAGACATAGTAATCCATGTGGGCAGTTATTTTCTCTCTGGGTTCAGAGTACATCATCTCTTGCCCTCCTAGCATTTAGGGTTTCTGCTGAAATCCTCAATAATAATATAGAGTAAACTACGACAGTAAAAATTAGTAAAAGGGGCCGGCCACATAGCTAAGCAGATTAAAGTGCCTGCAAGCAGACACAGGGGTCAGGGCTTTGATCCCCTTTCCTGCTGCGCTGGCCCTGCCCCCGGGGCGCACTGAGCCATGAGACTGGGCGTGGTGGCATGCGCCTGTAATATCAGCTCTTGGGAGGCTGTGAACAGGCGGATCACTGTGAGTCCAATCTAGTAGTGAGACCCTGAACACCCTGTAGACCCTTCCCTAAAACTGAAAATAAGAGAATATCCCTGTGTTTAAATTTTAGAGTCTTACAAAAAAGTATCCCCAAAGAAAAACCACCCAGTTATCTTTGACACTGCAAAAATGTTATTTTAATCACCTGGTCTGGAAAACTAAACCACATTAATTCCTCCTTTTCTTTCATTTGCCATATTACATAAAGGTAACCTTATATTTCCTGACACACTTTCAGTATTTTGCTCTTTTCTTTCCATTCTCTTGCCACTAGACCTTCCTTTGACTTCTTGCCTTATTCACAGCACTCTTCTCATTTACCTACGTAGAGTTTATTTTCCTTCTGTCCTTTCTTAATGCTGCTCCTATGTTTATTTCCCTAAAACTATGCTTTCACACTCATAGTGAAAAATAGAAGAGGCTCTCAAGAACGTGTTGAAATTTACTTAAGCATTATGAATCACCTTGTTTGTCTCCCTTTTTTGTTTTCTACCTTCCGTACTCAAGGAGCTATCTATCTTCCTTCATGATTATGTAAGCTGAAGATATATGCTAACATTTAGTTTCATTCCGTTAGGAGTGTGATTTTTCTCACTGGAAGTGTTTATTCTAGTCTAGTGGCCGTGTCAGTCTTACAGACTGAGGATCCCTAATCTGGAAACCTGAAATCTGGAATGCTCTAAAACCTGTCATGCCACAAGTGGAATATTCTACACTTGACTTTATGTGGTGGGTCAAAGGTAAACAGATGAATGAATAATTTAGGGAATAAGGGAAATTCAATATCAAATTGATCTTTGAAAGAAGCTCCGAGCAAGAGGAAAATTACACCAAATGCTTGGAAGGGGAACACTGTGTATGCAAAGAACACTCATGCTTTGGGGACCCAATAAGGTCAAATTAAGCATGTAAACCCGAGTGGCTTTGCCCTGGGAGACATATTCATACACTATGACAGTGGGATGAGGGATGAGATTCTAGTAATGTCGCACTGTCTTTTGAGTTGTATGTCTGTGTGTGTGTGTGTGTGTGTGTGTGTGTGTACTGGGGATCAAACCCAAGGGCACTCTGCAATCGAGCTAAACCTCCAGCATTTTTTGTTTTATTTCTAGGCAGGGTCTCATGAAGTTGTCCAGGCTACCTTGAACTTGCCATGCTCTTGCTTTAGTCTTTCAAGTATTATAGCTGGGTTTACAGGTGTGTGCCAGGTGTTTGTCAGGCCCTAAGAAAACCAGGGCCTGGTTTTCCAGTAGCGTAAGAAAACCAGGGAGGTGAGCTGTGGTACTATAAAATACGTGATAATCTTTTTTTTCCCCTCCTTCTTCATTTGACATACAACTCATAAAATCCTTGGAATCTTCAAAATAAGTGACAAGTTTCTTTCGGTAAACCGATTGCTTGATGGCTGGCAATCCCAAGGCAGTTTCAGTAGGGCACTGATCACAGAGGGAGCCAAAATTAGACATCAGTACCCCCCACCTCATCTCCAGAGAGGGGAGAGGGACTGTTGGCTAAACTGATCACCAATGGCCAGGGATTTAATGAATCATGCCTATGTAATAATGCCTCCATAAAATGCAAACGCATTGGGTACAGAGAGCTTGTGAACACGTGGAGGTTCCTGGACATTAATGCACCCAGATAGGGCATTGAAACTTTGTATCCCTTTCCACATGCCTTGCCCTGTGAGCTCTTCACCTGCATTTGATGTAATATCCTTTTTAACAGATCAAAAAACAAACACAGAGAACAAAACAGAGAAGCAACACAGGAACAAAAGAAACATGATATAAAATTGCCTTTACACTGTGTATAGGATATGTGAAACGTAAATGATATTTTGTGGTGAAATGTGTCCTAGATATGTCATTATATATAGGCAGATATTCTAGAATCTGAACAAAAGTCAGAAATCTGAAACAATTCTGGTCCCACGCATTTTGGATAGGGGTTACTCAGTAATAAGGTGTTCTCCAGGAAGTTTTCTTCTACTGCTCAAAAATAGCATCAATCTCTCTCACCTCTGAATTACTACTGGTCCAATTATTAACACAATACTTATACTTGAAAATATCTCATGTTTTCATTCTGATTTAACCTCAAGTTAATTATAAGCATCTTAAAGACTTAAATTATGCTTATACTAGGTCTGTGAAATATAGTAAATGAAAGAGTAAAGTTCTCAAAATGTAATTTCAAACTGAGTGATTAATGGTTAACATTAAATCTCTCACCCCCATGGAATGTTTTATGTGATTGCTATAAAATGAAAAAGCAAATAGAGCAATACTAACAACAATCAGATGCTTAGGTAGTCTCAAATTAGATCCAGAAAGCAAAAACTTAATTGTGAGGAACTAATTTAAAATCATCATAATAGATCATTTATATTGACCTGTAGTTTGGATCCAGGATCTTCACACGAAACACATACATTCCAGAGTGGTGCAAGGGCCAAAATATGTGGTTCTTATTAGAAATGTTGATAATTTCATATGGCTGATCTAAGTCTCCTGATTTTCCAATAGCATAAGAAAAACAGGGCCTGTAGTTCTGAAAAAGAAACAAACACAAGAACAAAGATCATTTTTGGACTAAAATAAAATTCTACTGCCATGTATTTATCTTGAAATATTAGAGATATAATGGCTATTTCTTTTTATTCTGTAATTGTAATTACAACACTCTATTGCATTTTTATATATTTGTACTGGGAACTGAATTGAGGACCTTGCACTTGCCAGGCAGGTGCTGTGCTGCTGAGTGACATCCCCAGCCCTTATATTGGTTAAAAATTTTATAAAAAGTGAAACTTAGTGAAAGCAAATGCTGTTAGGTTTTTGAGGCTGGTGATTGAATCTAGGACTTCTTACATGATTAACAAGTGTTGCACCACTGACCTATGTGTCCAGCCCGTGTTTCTTTGTTTGGTTTCAGACAGGGTTTTGCAGCATAGTTCAGGTGGCCTTGAACTCACTGTGTGGCCCACACTGACTTCATTCATGATCCTCCTGCCCTCAGCCTCGCATGGATTACAGCCACTCGCCATCACATCTGGCTATTTTGTATTTTCAAACAATTAAATTGGGATGTTAAGGGTATATTAGCATTTTTTATTTTTTTAATATTTTTTGGAGACAGGGTCTAGCTAAATTGCCCAGACTAGCCTCAAACTCTTTTGTTTGTTTCTTTGAGATAGGCTCTTGCTTTGTAGGACAGGCTGGCCTTAAATGTAAATTCATAGCAATCCTCCTGCCTCAGCCTCCCAAGTGCTGGGGTTATAGGCTCAACAGTGCCTGTCTATTAGCATATTATCTCCCTAAACCAACAAGATGTAGTGTTGGGAGCCACGGAAGCTAGAAAATTGGTCAAATGTGTGTAAGTGGGACTAGGTCTCAGTGCCTAATGCAAACAAGCTACCTCAGTCCTGATGTAAGCATCCTGATTGGTTGATGTGGGCTATTAGTCACTAGGCAACCTTGTGTCACGTGTTACTAACTTTGCAAAAGTATAAATAAACATTCATATTGTTGCTCATGTATAGGGATCCATTGGTCTCAGTGCAGACAGTCCTACCCAGGGGGGACACAGTGGCAGGAATGAAAAAGTTAGACAAGACAAAGCTGGGCTAGGTGGTCACTAGTCTGTCTGATGGACAAGACTAACAACACACAACAAAATGATCTTTTATACTTTTGCAGAAGTTTGTAACCCATGACATAAGGTTGCCTAGCAACTAATAGCTGACCTCAACCAAACAGGATATTTACCTCAGGAGTGAGGTAGCTTGTTTGCTTTAGGCACTGAAGCCAGTCCCACCTACACACATTTGATCAATTTCTTAGCTTCCTGCGGCAGACGAGTCGCCACCTAACTCAGCTCTTGTCTTCTTGTCCGTCTTTACCTCATTCCTGTGGCCATCTCTCCCCAGGTAGCATGCATCACACGGAGACCCACAGATCCTTAGACATAGTAATCCTCCAAAGAGGCTAATGGGGGACAGAAACTATTTAGACACAGTTGCGGCAATACATCTGTGAGTTTTTACCTTCCCCTGGAGCTTTTATTTAACCTCATTACCATGACTGTGTCTTCTTGTGTGTATCAAGATACAAACCACAGAATATTTTTACATATCTTTAAATCACAGATGAAACAAGCCGATGTTTTAAAAAATTTCTTTATGAAAACTAAAAGCAAGATAAAAAGATTGTTAAAATTTTCAGGTGACTCGTCCTACAAAAATACATAAACTTTGCTTCTGGATTCTTCAATGCATTCACGTTCTACTTGATGACTCCTTCTCTACCAGGAAAGAAAAGGAAGTTGCTTGAAGGAGATAAGAAGCCTTGTGAGGCAATTAGCTGCACCATGTCTGAGCGTTGGCCCGAGCAACACCCTTCATGGGTTCTGCGGTTGGAATGTGACAGGTCCATGTGGGAACCCTGGTCCCTGGTGGAAAGGTGTTGGGGGTGGAATCTAGTGCGAGCCTTTGGACCCTGGGCACCTGTTGTCTTAGTTTCTTTTCTTTCCTTGCTGAGACAAAATACCCAACACCTAAATTGAAGAGGGAAATGTTTATTAGCTCACAGTTTGTGGAGGTTTCAGTCCATAATCAGCTGGCTCCAAGGCAGGGTGGCACATGGCAGAGGGCAACAGTTCAAGGTGGCAGAAGATGGCAAAAGTCATAAGAGCAAAAGTGTGGTGATGGCAGGAAAGTGGGGCCCTCTTCCTCCCTTATTTTTTAAGCAGCCTCCAGGCTCCCCCGGGTGGGGAGCTCACACCATCTCCATGCCCTCCTCTTGCACAGGATGAGGATGTTTACAAAGTGAGGACCCTGGCCCCCTGCGGAATTGCTTATTAAACTTTGAAACTTTTCAAGTTGACGCAATGTATCAACGTTACAACTGGTAATCCAGTGACAGGATTAACGCCTCTGCCACAGAAGGAGTCCCATTATTCCGAAGTGGATCCCTTGAACAAGAATAAGTGGCTTCTCTGGCTCACTCTCTTGCTGGTTCTGGCCCCTACCTTCCCTCCTCATAGCCTTCTGTCACAGACCCTACGGCAAAAACTCTCTCGCTGTTGTAACCCAAAAATCAAAAACCAGACTCAATTTAAAAGCGCTTTATTTAGCTGAGCTCAGCGGTGGCACGTACTCTTGTCTCCAAGTATGTGCGCAGACAAGGGTTTTTTTTTTTTTTGGCGGAACCGGGGATTGAACTCAGGCCCTTGCGCTTGCCAGGAAAGCGCTTATTCCACTGAGCCATCTCCCTAGCCCGAGACAAGGGTTTTTAAAGCTGAAAACCTCAACGAGGGGGGTGACTTGAACGCAAGGGAATGCAGCACTGGGGTCAGCATCCACTTACAGGAAACAGGTTACATTCTTTTAACATGCAGTTACAATTTTAGGAACAAATAATTAATTCTTAATGGCATGGTGTTGATCACAGGATGTCACAGAAAGGTATCGAGATAATTTTGGGAACAGGGAGTTATCCTTAGAACAGAGAGTTATTACCTTAAGATATGGGACTGATCACAAGAAGCATTGTGAACAGGGACTTGACCTTGGAACAGAAAGTTATCTTAGGCTATGAGGCTAATCACAGGAAACTTTGTGTAGACTACTTTTAACAATCTGTTGCTCAGAACAAAGGAATATTTTGAATATTAACAAAACTGTGTTCAGAGGCCAGACGTACAGCTTGAGCCACAAAGATGAAGTCTAAGTTGTCAGCTTATGTCAGACAGTCCTCGTTAATAAAGTTACAGTGGAAACATACAGAGGTATATAATAGAATGACTATTCTGGTTACAAAATGGAGTCAATCACGTAGGTTATAACAGAAACATACAGAGTGGTATAACAAAATGCTGTTCTAGTCACAAAAATGGAGACAATTACATAGGTTATAACACTCGCTATGTGGATATAGCCTTGCTGTTGGCCCCCAACCTCCAATCATAGGCCAGTGAATTTTAATGCATTATAATTTACCTGATCTAGGTATTCTGTGACAGAGCACAAAATTCACTCTGAGCATATTTTTCCTATTCCCTACATATGTTGAAGTATTTCTCATTTATGAATACCTTCCCAGTCAATTGAACCTTGGGATCAGTCAACTCCTGCATAGTCTTCAAAGGAGTTTCTCATAACAACATAACAGATAAAAAATTCAATCACAATTAAATGGTGACAGTGATAAGCTCTAGAAAGAGGCTCATTATCATTATTTTTATTTCGTATGTTGAGACATGGTCTTGCTCTGTGGCCTAAGCTGGCTTCCAACTTGTAGTTATCCTCCTGCCTCAGCCTCCCAAGTGATGGGATTACAGGCATGTGCCACCATACCTGGTTTGTTATTGTTGCTGCTGCTTTTTTAAAAGAAGCTTATTGTTTACTGTTGTGTCTCCAGCTTAGCACACAGTAGGTGGTGTATTTGTTGACTTACTTTTGAGCTTTAATTTCCAGTGTTAAGTCACTTTGCTTTCCCAGTACTCAAGACTCTGCTGTACTCTCTGTACCCGCTACCTCTTGCTCTAGATCCACACTGAATAAGCTCTGGTAATCAGTCTTTTGGGTTAGCTCTATCCCTGCACTCAAAAAACTTGCCAAGGGTGCTACTTGGTATGCCAGGCAATCCTGCCCTACTTTCTCTGGAGACCTTGCTACTGATCATACATCCTAAAGGGTTTCTCTGCAATTTTTGGAAACTGTTTTATTGAAGCATGAAGTACAATTCTCATTACGCCTGCTTTCCACTGTGCTGGATGTCACAAAATGTGAGGCTATGGACACTTGCCCTATTTCTGTTATGTCCATTCCAGCAACCAGCTATTCTTCATTTCCTCGAGGAGATGAAATTCTCATCAAGGGCTGGAGCTAATTCCATACGCATCTTGAATGAAATGAGAGCCTTATGGATATTTCCTCTCTGCTAGCCTTATGGATATTTCCTCTCGCTTTTTTGGTCTATCCTGAATGCATCATCAAGAGAACTCTGATTCCTTTTTGATGACATCAGAGTGAGAGGTAATTCCAGATCTACGCCTTTTACTGCAGAAGCAGACAGGCACACACATTCTTTCTCTCCCTACTCTAGGATATAGCTGGGATCAAGAGTAGGGCAGCTCAGTTGTGCATTCTACTAAATTTCTCTCCCAAGAACTTCAATTATAAATGAGGAGCTGCAAGGAGGAATGTTTAAAGGTAGTTCATCTCTGTAGCAGTGCTCTAGCCAACTTGCAGAAGTATTGTTTGGAATAATAAAATTAGAAGCTAAAATGCATTTTTGGACAGAAATACAAGTCACTGGATTAAGAGTGTACAGGCCGGCGAGAGAAGGAGGAAGAGGAGGAAGAGGAGGAGAAGGAGGAGGAAGAGACTGCTTGTCATTTATATTCTGGTAGCAACAAGTATGAATTCAGCCAAGAGTACAGCTTGATTAAATAGTGAGGACGGGCTAACCAGCACTCAGCTGTGTGTACACCACTGGCTGGTTGCCTGGGCTGTGGCTCCCTTCCTCATGCTAATGATATTGTGATGTGAAAGAGCAAATGAAATTAGTAGTAATCAGGGACAGAGAATGCATATGTTCTAGCTGCACTTGAGAGAGCTTTGGGGAAAGCATGGAAGATCATGCAATGAAGAAAGAGATTACAAGAGGGACAATGCTGGATTGTACATCCTGGGCTCTGCTGTCAAGAAATTTTTGAATGAAACAGACCTGTTGTACATTATCTGGCTTTAGTTAGTCGTCGTAAAGGATCCAGTTGTTTTATGCCACCCCCACCCTGTGTGGTGGTGATGAGTTCTTGGAAGGAAACGCCAAGGAAGCAGGGTGGGTGACCCGGCTCATGCACAGGGAGGTGTAAGCAGCAGAAGCCCTGAGAATGTGATGTGAACAACCTGTGCTGAGCTGAGGGAGGCTGCCGCTGTAACTGATGGTGTTTGGCTTGGCATACCAACAGCAGATAGAGTCATCCAGCAAACAACTTCTGATGGGGCACTGCACACAGGCCCGCATGTCCTTAGTTTGTGAACAGACTAGATTCGGGAGTAGGAACCTAGGAATGGCAGCCTCCGTGGACACAGGTGAGGGTTCTTCTAAGGGATGGCTGACAGCCAAGAGTGTCAGTGTGGAGCTTGCCACAGAGAAGGCAGTGATGGCAAGGCCACTGTCCAGACTGGCCTAGGTGCAAAGTGATTCTAGCCCAATAACAGGATTGGACCCAAAGAAAAACTGCTGTTCTTTCACAAGAATGGGTGTGAAGCTCAGTTGCTGTTCAGGTCACCAGATTTTTTCTTTAGCCTTTGAATAAGTAACAGACATGGGCTTGCTTGGCGGTATCGTTTCCTTATTCTCCCACGTGCTTTAATGTTTGCAAATACAATGGAATTGTGTGAACAGTGTTCCACCTTAACTCTATGGATTAGGTTTTGGAGGTAGTCAGGAATGCATGATGTAATTCCTCTATTTGACTATGTAATCTCTGACTACACAACAGTCTCTTGCCTCGTTCTTTTATCCTTATTTATATATACTTCAGTATTTACCGTCTGGCTTGTGAATTTTTTTTAAAAGGTGGATACTGCCTTCACACTGAACAGATCCCTTTTTCCTTTATTAGCAGGTCCTTTATTTTGTATAAATGAATCATTCTATAGTTATGTGTGTGTATTTATTCTTTAATCATAAGAGCCATCCTTCTGACTGCTACACTGTTGTCTGTGTCACATCTGCTATTTCCCTGTATATTATGGGACTCCCCTGAATTATTGTCATTTGCAAACCAGCACTTCATCAAGTCATCTAGTCTCTGGGAAAGCAAGCATCCCCTAGTCTTATAAATTCCATTCTATTTTGGGGGAGGACAGTGTAGTATTTTCAGCCAGCCCAGAGGTTCCAATCCTGTCCTGTATTACATGGAAGTGGCCAGCCAGGCAGTACCTGCATTCTACCATTGCACCTAATCTCCAACATTAACTTGGAAGAAGCTGTGGAAACGCCACTTCTGCATATGAGTCTTCCAGTGTTTTTTCCCTTGAGAATGTACAGTCCTCAGAGCTGCTTCTGAGCTCCTTTCTGCAAGCGTCATTCATCCTTGTAGAATGAGGACTGCAGAGCAATCAGTGCATCTTCAAGAACTGGAAGCTGCTTCATTTTTAGTTCATGTTTCAGGAGGAAGGCGTGCATCTTCGTGATTGTCACCACCGTACTATACACTGGCACCCTATTGTGAGAGCACCCTTACTCAGCAGGATGTAATAATTCCTTGCAAACGCCTGCTTGCTATGCTATCCAGACTCGAGATTGAATTAACTCTTTGTTTCTCAGACAGCAGAAGAGAACACTTAGGGCTTGGCATGTGCCCTCCAAAATCTTTCTAGATTGTAAACTCCTCTTTCAGTGCTTCCCCAGAAGTATTAGCATTATCTGGGGACTTGTTAGAACTCCGATGTTGGACCTCAGCTCCAATCAGCTGATTCAGAAGCTGTGGTGGTGAGGCCAGCAGTCTGCTTTAATAAGCCTTCCTGCTGAGTCTGATAGATGGTAAAGAGCCCCGTTGTCCTTTTTCCTATTTTGAAGCAGGCTCTGTGGTGGTTCATGGCTTATGGCTTCCTTGGAACATTTTCACAGACTCTAAGAACAGCCAGGTGGCCTCTGTAAGATCTAGGGATAGCGATAGTACCATTTATATCCCATCTCAATGCCAGACTCCTGGATATCCTTCAGCAAAAAGTCAGGAGAATAAGTTTGGTTTGAACTGATTCCATTACTAGTTTAATTCCATATGATCATAATTTTTATTTATGTATTTATATACGTATTTATTATTATTTGTTTATGTATTTGGCATAGGGTCTCACTACGCAGCTTGGGCTCATAGTGATCCTCCTGTTTTCGGCCTCCCCAATCCTGGGATTATGGGCATGTGCCACCATGCTGGGATTTGCAGCATGTGGTACTGGGGGATTTTTAAACAGAATACTATTCTTCATGATAGCAGAAGAATCTAGTTATTTAATTCAGTCTGTAAATATGTGTGGAACATCTACAACAGTTAGATGCTGGGCTTACAGCAGTGAAAAAAAAATAAACAAAATTCCCTTTCTTCTTGGAGCTTACATTCTAGTTGGAGAGCCAGATAATAATAAAATTAAAAGTAGGCTATTTAATGTATCAGGGAGGTATAATTGCCCATGATACTAAAGAAAATAGGGAAAGCAGATCTGTGCATTTCTGGGCAATGGCTGTCATGGGTATGGTGGCCAGGGAAATCCTTGTTGACTACCTGATTTTTCAGTAAAGTGTGTTCCAGCCCCAGGAAAAAAACCAAATAAGTGAAGTAAGAGAGAAAGATAACCTTTTATAAGTCTTACTTTCAACATGCTTATTAGGTCTTTAGTAAGCTGCAAACTCAGGTATTTTGCAGTGAAACTTAATCTGATAGCAAGAATCCACAGACATTAAGATGAAGCATTTTTCATAATTATCAACATAAAAGTAAGGTCAGATTTACCAACAGATATTGCTGTCCAAAGTGTTTTCATCAAGCTTTTGTTAATACCAGAATGCTAAGCTCCTAATTCCACAGGGGCAGCGATGTGGTTCTTACCTCCGGCCCCCAGACTTCTTCCAGTGGGAGGTCCTTGTGGAGCTCGGTCATGGTCTTCCATGTCTGGGCTTCATTTAAACAACCGCTCTGTGAAAAGAGTGCATGCATACAGCTGTGTGCAAGATGTCATAGCAGTTGATTTCCAAGTATTAATATTTTTGTGCCACTGAAAATTTTATATTCTTAACAGTTGCATGCTCTAAATATTTGCTGCAATACACAGGAACTTTTGTATATTGACCTTGTATTGAAGTTGTATGCTGGTCTCTATGTTGGGATCTAATTTTTTCTTTTTCTTTTTCTTTTTTTGGTGGTACTAGAGATCAAACTCAGGACCTTGTGCTTGCCATGCAGGTGTGTATGCCACTGAGCTATCTCCCCAGCTTGAGCTTGTATTGAGAGAACTTCGTAAATCCATTAATTGTAATTGTTTCACATGATTAATATGTCACCTATATTCCTTTTCCACTCTTACATCTTTTTAATTTTTATTGTTTATTCTTTATGTATCACAAGGATCCCCAACAATGGTGTTGGATAAAAATGGTGTTAAACAACTACCTTTGTTTCCTAATTTCAGAGGGAAGCCTTTCAAATTTTCACCTCTTACAATGTGTACTAAAACTTTTTAGCATCTGTATCTTATTAGGTTAAAGAAGTTATTCTTTATTTACACTTTTCTAACTTTTACTTACATATGTTATCTACAGATAGTAAACTCTTGGTCAAGTAACTTTTTCATTAATTATTTTATTTATTTATTTTGTATTTTAGGGAAGGGTCTGCAGGGTGCTCAGGGTCTCACTACTAGATGGGACTTGTACTGATCTGCCTGTTTACAGCCTCCCAAGAGCTCAGATTACAGGTGCGTGCACTGCGTCCAGTCTCAAGTGTGTCTCAGTGAGCCTCGGGGGTGGGGCCGACATGGCAGGCCTGAGAATTAAACCCCCAGCCCCTATGCCTGCTTGCAGGAGCTTTAATCTGCTGAGCTATTTGGCCAGCCCTTCATTAATTATTATTGTAATATTATGTCATTTTCCTGTGTTTTGTTAGCAAGTTTAATTACTTTTATTGCCTATTTCTATTTCAACTTTCTGTTTATATGCTTTAAAACTATATAATTATAAATTAAAATTTTGCACCCTAATTACAATTATTATATTCTTGGTGAACTGAACTTTTATCTGACAAATATTCTTTTAAAAAAATCAGGGACCAACTGGGTGTGGTGGTACATGCCTATAATCCCAGCACTGGGAAGGCTGAGACAAAAGGATCATTAGGAGTCTGAACTTTGTAGCAAAATAAATAAGTAAAGAACTAAAGATCTGGAACCAGACGAAGGAAAAAAATGACAGAGTGGTCAGTGAAAACTTTACCTCTCCAAATTTCAGAATCCAAACAGTAGAAAACAAGAATTTGTAGAAGAAACAAAAGAGAAAAGTAGATCCTTAGAAATAAGAAGTATCAGGGGCTGGGGAGATGGCCCAGTGGAATAAGTGCTTGTCTGGCAAGTGCAAGGGCCTGAGTTCAATCCCCAGTTATGCAAAAAAAAAAAAAAAAAAAAAAGTATCTGACAGGAAAATTAATAGGAGAGACAAACTGAAGAAACAGAACACAATGCGCAGAAGAGATGAGGCCATGTACACTGCTCCAGGCCCACTGCTCAGGTATTCAAAGGTGCAATAACAGTGGCCAGCCTAGGGCTGGTGAGATAGCTCTGTGGCACAAGCACATGTAGGTCCTCAGTTCAATCTTCAGTACCAAAATGACAACAACAACAAAAGAACACCCCAATGTCTAACCTAGAACAATCCTTGGGAAGTGAGATATATGAATTAGCAAGACTGTGGCAAAAGATTGACTATAGAGTTTAACCTGGATACGAAAAGAAGGGGAAGAAAACAGGCCAAGTAGCGAGGGAGAGATGAGAACGTGCAACATAACAGAAGTCTGGGTTATGTGAGACAACTCTCAGTGGATTTACAGAATAAAAATTTAATTCTTGGTTATACATAGTCTAGTGCAAATGTCCCTGATTAGATAGATGGTTTGGATGGGTGACTCTAAGAAATGAACTAGGAGCTAGATTTTATTTATTTATTTATTTATTTTTTAGTTTTTTTTTATCTAGAGGTTGCTTGAAGTCCTTTCCCTGGACCATTTTCACTCAGCTCTCATCTACTCTACCCTTAAGTGTTCTGTAACGTGCTGATAGGAGGTAAGATGGGAAGCACAGAGTTAGAGGCATTCCCTCGTAGGTGCCTCATCCGGAAATGACACGTAACCACACGAGCTGTCACAGGGCCTCACCGAGATGCCTGTGTGTCTGGGAAATGTTGGTCCTGTGTAGAACCCTTCCCAGCAGTGGCACTATGTGATGGATCACAGACCCCAGAGGCCATCTATAATTATTTTCAGAACATGAGGAAAAATGATCAAGTTCTGAGCATAGGACATCAGCAAGTAGAAACGGAATAGATGTCAACTACACAGTAGGATCCTCAAACAAAAGTCTTAGTGGAGAGTGGAGAGATACTGGTGCACATGGTACTGTGGATTAGGGAGACCATACCCCACACATCTAATAGTTACACATATGGGTGAGAGGATGTGCACCTTTGGTTAGATAGACCAGTAAGGACAGATGTGGCCTCTGAGGAAATTTTATTTCAGAAAGATGCAGGGACATTTAGCTATAAAGTGCAGTAGAAAGGTTTGAGGAAGAAGAGTATCATGGGAGTCTGGACCAAGGTAGAGGAAGGATGCAGTAGTATGGGGGTAAGGCTGTGAAGAGAAGGTAGACCAAAGGACTTGCACACTGTACTGGGCACTGGACAAGTACAGAGGATGTGTTCTGAGATAGATTTATTTGATCACCTAATTGAAAGGCAGGTTTTTAGTACTCCAAAAAATGGCAAATGGAACTCAGGTTGCTGTCAGAGTTATCTTGGGTAATTAGTGTTTCTGATAGAGAAGAATGCCACTTGGACAAGAGTTAGCCCTTGGTTTGTCTGAGCCCAAAATTCTTGGGGAAGCTCAGGAATCAACCCTGATAATGTCTAATGAAGCACCAGCATGGTGGGAGGTTGTCGAGGGCAGACGGGCAGGTGATGTGTGGTGATTGGGGGAATCTTCCTGTCTGTTGTGTCCTACAAAGTGAAAGCACAGAATACGAGGGGTTCACCTGGGCGTCCTAGATCAACTGGTAATGGAAGATGGAAGAGAAGTAGGGGAGCGCAGGGATACTGAGGCCAACATCGGAAAGGTCAGAGTATGTAAAGAGGTCAAATAGCCTAAAATGTGTCCCTTTAGTTTAGCATAAATTCAATAAGGCAAACTCATAAATAAATATTAAGTATGGGTTGGAGGAAAAAGAAAATGCTCATACATAATTGCATCCTCCTACAGACATTGTTTTATCTTTTTTCTGACTGCTTTATGTCTTTTGGGTGACGATGCATTCAGTTTTTCATCAATGAATTTCAGTAGTCATGTAACCTAATTGGAAGCGATGTTGGTGTTTTCCACCTTCCTGGTTCTGATTTCCTTAGATACTTTATGTATAGATTTACAATAGAAAGCCATGTCTAATTTCATGCCAAATTCTGTTTAAATTCAGACACCATACCTGCTTCATGCTGTTATTGTAACTATAATCATTCCTGCCATGGATTTCCCACAGTATGAAATTTACTGCCACATCTTCAATGTGGCCACTGTCGTCAAATCTGAAAGAGAGATCAAACCCAAAATACTGGCTTAGTATATGACACAAGAGTAAAGGGTTATAGTATTCAAGTTAGATGGGGTCAGGTTTGAATTCTGTGTTTATCGCTTGTTGGTTTCATCGCCTGAGGGAAATTACTCCAACTCTTCAAGCTTCAATTTTCTTCTCTGTAAAATCACAACACCTGCTCCGAAGGCCTATTTTGCTAGTTGAATGGAATAAGACCTAGTAATGAAGTATAAAATTGAAGCTGTAAGTTTGCTTCACCTTGATAGGACCGCATGTTGGTGAAGAGAACTGAGTGAGGGCCTCCTGTCATGGTTTCCAGTTGGGAGAAATGGGAGAAAATTCGATGAATGCAGGAAAGGCCAGGAGAGGGTCCCCTGGGCTCACTGAATCAGCAGCTCTTCGTTGGTTGCCTTTTATGTATCCGAGAGCGAACCACAGAGCTGCTATGGTGAGAACCGACGCTGCGGATTCCCCGGGAGGCCCCGGCTGCAAGCTGTGGCTGACTCAAGGGATCGCAGCACTGTGGAGGGGGCGGGCCAGGGCGCAGTCACTCGGAGCGGAGGGCGGAGGAGGCCTCCCGCCCGCAGCAGAGGTCAGCGGGTCCGGCGTGGACGGGACGCCGATGCTGGGAGCAGGTGCAGAGCCCCACGGGGCCCGAGTATTCGCCAGCGCCAGTGAGTTTCAGAGAGATGCGGTGTCGCATGTTATCTTATTCCTGCTATCAAATAAAAACAGAGCTTGAGACTACAGCTAAGGGTCACTTACTGAGAAATTCACACTTTTGCATTCTAGACCTCATGACTATAAAAACAGTCACCAGCTTCCTTCTCCATCAGTTATTAGTCATATTTCTAAATGAAATCTGCCGTTCCACTGGGTGGACTTTCACACAGGACCGTGGTTTCAGGCGCCTGTTTCTAGGCTGCTGACTCTCGCTCCACCTTTTGATGCGGTTTCTCTCTTGGTAGCTTTATGGCGATTCGTCACCCATCAGAGGTCTTCCCTGCGCGTCTGCTTACTCCCTGCCGGGATCTCTGCTTTGCCTTGCAGTTGCTGTATCTGCTTCGCAGGCCCGTGACAGCTTGCTACCACCTAACTGTGGATATCCAAAGCTGTTGCGCTACCAATCTCGAACATGGTGCAGAAAAAGCTTTAAGGGTCAAGAAGCGGTATCTGAGAAGGTATTTTCACGTTCAGGTTAGTTTTGGTAAATCATAAAGAGATGAACTCAGACCCTGGTCAGTGCTCAAACAGGCGTGACTGACTCAGAATTAGAGTACTGGTGTTTGCCTCCTTAGTGGGGGAGGAGGAGGGCCACAGAAACTGGAGAACTCTGCTGGGCACACGGATCCTCTCACCACAGAAGAATGTGCAGACGCCGACACGGATACACACACGTAGTTTTAGAGATTTGGAGCAGGATTAGCAAAGCTCGAATACTAGCAGCTTTGGGAGGAGCAGGCTTTTGGTGGCATATTTGGACAATCATGAGGTTCGTGAATTATTAAGAATTGTTGCAAAGCCATTTTCTTTTTTACAATAAAAAAATTTTAATTGTACTTTGCGGGCTGTAATTTTGACTCTTGCCAGAACGACGAACCATAGTGCCACCTAGGGGCAATAAGGATGCATTGCATGACCCATAATTTCTGGATTTGCAATGACCTTTGACAATGTTTTATTTCATTGACAATGTGTAACATAAAAACAGTTGCCTATGTAAGCGTTAAATAATTATTTTCATTAAAGTTCACCAGAGTATGACAGAACACTAGTGAAATCCATGAAATTCATGAATATCACTAGTTGGCAACACTTGGAAAACTAACTTCCCAACACTTGGAAACTTCTCTGCCTAGGAGGCTCTAATTTGGGAATTGAAGAGACCTCTCTGTGGCTCCTCAGATCCATTCGACCCAGCCTTTGTGGACAGAGCATTATATTAACCATGTCTTCTTTTTTTTTTTTCTTCCTGTGTTTGAATACTGTAACATCTGGGGCCTTGCCTACCTTTGAGGAAGTGGCTTCCCAGGGGCCACCGCTTCCCAAAGCTTCATCGAAGTTTGCCTGACTGCAAGGCTAATTTATTAGCACCCAGATCCACCTCCAATGAACAGCTGACTGAATGCCTTGAGATCAGCTGTTTCGGGATGATGCAGTTGAACTGGACACTCAGCCCTGCTGACCTGACCGTTCCTCTGGAGTTGGCCTCTAACATTTGGTTGATTGTCCTAGGAAAATCAGAAGCAGACAGGTGCTATCGAGGGACTCTTGGCAGCAAGACACAAAGAAATAACCTTTCGAAAGAGTGTGGATGCTATCGTCCGGTATAGTGCTGCTCCAAGAGCCTCCTCTCGGATGCCAGCCTCTTCTGCCTTCCCCCCGTCCTTTCTCTGCCCCGTGTCTCACAGGGATTTCCAGCCTCCCAGGTCTACCTTGCTGTCTGCACCACAGTTTCCTCCAGACTTACTCCTCATGCAGCCCAGTCTCCAGGCTGGCGGTCTGATGCCTCTGTAGCCAGCACCCTGCAGTCACTCGCATCGTCGTCTTCACCGCGTGTCCAGGAGCCACCCAAACCTCAGATGTCACATCCAACTTCTTTGGGAAGCTGGCGCCTGTGGATGGCACCCATTCGTGGCACATTTCCCAGCTGAGCCTTTGTACAGGTCCTTGCTTGGCCCCTTCTCATTCTGTTCTCAGTGACCTTTGACGCCTTCCTTGCAGTCCCTCCCCCGCGCTGCCTCTGCTCCTTGGTAGCTGACCTCTCTTCTTTGTGTAAGTAAGTTGAGGCTGCCAGGCGTGCTCTTCTGTACGTGCTTCATCCCTATTTCCAAACATGAGGAGGATCCACTTATTAACCCAACTGAGTCCATTTTGCCTCTCTCTGACTTGTCCTTTTCTGAAGTGCTCTTTCCCTCAGTTTACTTCAGATTCCAGGATTGTGGCCTGACAGATAAAAATCCTTTAAACCAAACACGATCGGCTCCAGAGCAGTGGCAGTTTCCTTGACACCAGTAAGACCCCCTGTGACAGGCCAGCTTACATCTAACTGAGCTCACCAGTGACACAAGGCCCCTCAGCTCCAGCCTTTGTCCCCCACCCAAAGACACCCCAAACACAGCCCATAGGCCTGTCTTCCCAGTACAGCCACACTGAAATTGAAGTCCTTTTCATTTTCATCATCACCTCCTCTGCTTGTTTTTCTGTGACTTGAGTGGCTGAGCCTCACCCATTGGTGCCCCCTGGAAGTCCCATTTCTACTCTGGGACTCCAATGAAAACAGTCATTTTCTGTATTCATTTTTACTTTTTTCCCACATCTTAGAGGCTATAGCTTACGTTTTTGACCTTACTTTCTAATAGACCTTGATGGCTTCTATAGGTTTTTTAATTAGGAAATATTTCAAATATGCAAAAAATGGAAAATTTATCTCATTTTCATCCATATTTCATATCTTATACATAAATGGATTCATGAATATATAGTAATATTTTATGATAGATACATACATGATATGGAAAATATACATACATGATATTAAACAGTATCTTTTTTTTAATTTTGAGGCAGGGTTTCAGTATGCAGCCCTGCCTGGCCTTGAACTCACAGTGATCCACCTGCCTCAGCTTCCCAAATGCTGGGAATACAAGGCCTATGCCACCATGCCCAGGTTAAGCTATAAGTATCTTTTGCCTACTTTTCCCCTCACTAAATACTGGGCTTTGAGATGGATCCTTCAAAATTTCTAGTCTGTGGATCTCTGTTTTCCTTTGTAACAGTTCGTGCTTGAGTTTTCTTTCCTTCCACCTTTACCTCATGGTTGGCCATCTGATTCCCACCTCTCACAAGCATCCTAGCTCATTCATTTTTAACTAATCGTATCATAAATCCATCCAATCCTCTATTAATGGGCTTTAAAGTTGTCCCCAAATTTTCATGGTATGAAAAATCTTTCATGTGGCCCAGGGAGATAGCTTAGTGGCATAAGTGCCTGCCGGGCAAGTGCAAGGACCAGATTTCAATCCCTGGTGCCACATGCTGTTGTGGTCCCAGAGCCCCAGGTGCACAGTGCTGGCCTAAAAACTGGGTGTGGTGGTGCATGCCTGTAATCCTAGTGCTGGGGAGGCTGAGACAGAAGGATCCTATGAGTCCGAGCTGCATAATGAGACCCTGTACCAAATGAATAAGTAAAAAAAAAAATTAAAAATCTTTCATGTAGGTACAGTGAAAAATTTTAATCGATGAAGTTTCTCACCTTTACGAACATGTTCTCCAAAATGGCTGTACCAATGTATACTTCTAACAGCTCTACGTGCATCTCCATTGTACTACGTCCTTGCCAGTACTGGCCAGTCTTACCACAGCAAGAATTTAGTGGTTTTGCTTCTTTTTCATTCTGATGGGTGTACAATGGTCTGTTATTCTAATTTTTCATGTCTTTAATTACCAAAGATTTCATGCTCTGCGAACAGAGTTCGCAGGCTTGAGAATGCTGTCCTTTGTAAGGTTTCTGCTCGCAAGTTTGGTCCTTGGCTGGCCCTGGGGAGTGTGGATGTGGGAAGGGTTCTTACTGTTCTAGAACTGGGTAGGGTAGTTTGCTGTGTTGTTTTCTTTTCAATCACCTTTTTGTTTCTTCAGTTTGTGTACGGTATGTTTTCATTACAGGTTAGTTTTGCATTGTGGTAAAATATAAAGAAGGTGAAATTCATCCCTTGAACTTCCATGTTTGAGTTACCATCACCACGCCATCCGGAACTTTTTTTATCTTGCAAAACTGTAACTGTTTCCATTAAACAACCATTTCTCTTGTTCCTCAACCTCTGGAAACCATTGTTATATTTTCTATCTGTCACACCTGGCTCGGAGGAGAATGCTTTCTGCAAACATGCAGTTCTCAGCAAACAGCCAAAATCCACAAAGGGGCTGGGCTGCCCCTGGAACACAGGACAGAAGGCCAGAAAGATGAGCCCAGGACAGGCTGTGCGGCCTCCC